TGAGCTCAGGAGTTTCCTACACAGTGTTGGAGTATGAATATATGTTCGCTTTCCTCACCAGCTGAGCTCAGGAGTTTCCAAAGCTACATTATAAGAATTCGGGTAGAAGTGTACAGAAACCAATAAGAATTCTCCCATAATTTCCGCGAAATTTTCCCCAAAAAATCCACTCAAGAACTTCATATTGTCACTAACACATATATAATGTGAATATATAATTTATAATATTTTTCACTAATTTTCAATTTTAATATAACACGCGTTTGAATCGATCATCAAGAGGATTGTGTATATTTTCCAACACTGTATATTGGAGTTTCACAACAACCCGTTTTACGTGAAGTGGCGTCGTAAAACTAGGCGATATTCGCGGTGATATGCAGTTAAATATGTTTTTCATATGGCAGCTCGTGAAACTTCAATGAAATCGTCGTGAATTGCCCAGTTTTATTTCAGAGGCGGTTCTTGAAAACGCGAGCGATAATGAAGTGGATGAGAAGGTGATGAAAAAACCTGAGGAAAAATCGGGTGATAATTTTCAGGGCGCGGATTTTTACGAAAAAAATCTTTTTTGTGGTAGTTTTTATTTTTATCGAAATGAGCGGTGGAGTTTCACGCGTTTTATGTGAAGTGGCAAATCGATACTCCTTGTGAAAAATGTGATATTCGCGGTGATATGCAGTAGTAGTGAAATATATATTTTCACTAGTGGTTTTCATATCACTAGGGTGGTGAAACTCCATAGTATCCGGTTGGTGCGATAACAGCCAGTGCGGAAAGTGGTGAATTTAGATTTGTAAAAAGTAACGATTCAAGTCTTGATTCGCGCTGTTTTTTTCCCGAATTTTTCGTGAATTTTCTGTTTTTTTCCCGAATTTTTCGTGAATTTTCTGTTTTTTCCCCGAATTTTTCGTGAATTTCTGTTTTTTTCGAATTTTTCGTGAATTTTCCGTTTTTTTCTTGGAAATTCGCGCAGTAAGTTTTTTTTCAAATTTAATTTATATCATACGAGTGAAAATCGATTATCGAATATTATTCTCAGGTGGGAAGGCGACCACCACCACCACTAGCCCCTCCTCACTAGAGCACTCAGTTCTCTATCAAACGGCATTGGCATGTCAAACGCTGAGGCATCACATTTCGATGAGTTTAAAATTGGTGGGAATTTGGGTATATTAGGATTTTGTGTTGGACGGTTGAGACATATATGCACATGGTCAACTAGATGTGTTGCTAGGAATATGGAAATTTAGAGGAAAATTATCGTTGATTTTTGTATACAAAATCGTGAGATTTTTCATAAAATAGTGAGGGAACCTACGAGCTCAGTTGAAGAAACCAAACATATATTCCTGTACTAGCCATGTAGAACTCCATTTGGTGAACATACAGTTAACGCGAAAATTTTGGGAAATTATCGTTGGTTTTTGTGCACTCCTGCCCAAAACTCTCATAATGTGGTGAGGAAATTTACGAGCTCAGTTGAGGAAACCAAACATATGTTGTCGAACTGCTTGAGAGTGTTGTAATCGGAGCACATACTCAGTGATGGAAGTTTTGAGGAAATTTTTGTTGGTTTCTCGTGTGGTGACTGCCACAGACCTGTCCCCCTCAGCTGAGCGATGTAGATCTTGTATATTTATATCCTCCTAGGGTGCATACGGTTCTTGCGTTCTACACTCCTACCCGAATTTGTATGTAAATTTTCATAATATTCCTAAGCTCAGCTGAGGAAATACCGTTAGTGAACAATCTGTAGTTCACGAGGAAATTAATAATGGAGTTTCACGACTGTGATATGAAAAACAGACCGCAAATATCGCCTAGTTCTTCACCGAGTTTTACGACGCCACTTCACATTGTTGTTTTGAAACTCCAATAGTGTATATTCTCGGTCGGAAATTTCTGGACTCAGCTGAGGAAAGCGAATATTTATTACAATGCTGGTTGTAATGGTAGATTTAGTGTTAACATTTTTTTCGAAAAGTTTCCTCACTAATTATAAAAGTTTTTTGCATGGGAATTCTGGTAGAAATGTGTAGAATTGAAAAAAAATTAGAAACTTTCCAAATTTTTTCCCATTTTGTCAGCGACCCAGGTAGCGATATTTGCATATTTTCCTACACTGTGTGTGATTTACAATAAAATGTATCCGCGTGGTTGGTGATAATATGAAAATTTTGAGGAAATTTTGGGAAATTTTTTTTCTGATTTTTTTTGCATCGAATTCGTGTGGAAAAGGAAACTCCTGAGCTCAGCTGGTGAGGAAAGGGAAGATATGTTTGCTGCTCAGCAGTGAAAATAATTACAACAATCGTAAACACTTCCAAGGGTTACTGTTCTTTCCTTGGTATGCTGGAGAGGAGGTAGCCGCCCTTGAGAAGGGTGACTCGTTCGATGATAGAAAATGAAAAAATTGATTTTATTACTCAAATTTGAGATAGTAAATTATAAGGGCGTAGAATTGAACCTGGGTTGGTTGGGTATCAGTCGGGACGCTTATCGGCTGGACCACATTGAGTGATGAGTTGTTAGATATCGGATTTGTATGTGCAGTATGGAGAAAGGAAAGAGGAAGCTCTAAAAGGTGATAGTTGGGAATATTCGTATGGTTGTGATATAATAATTTTTAATTTATTTTATAATTATATAAATCATTATAGGGGGAAAATGATATGAAACCATAAAAGTAATCATACGAAATCATTAACATTGCGGAGCGAGCGGAGCTTATTCTCTCACTTCACGATAACTTTATTTGTGCGTGCGTGCGTGCGTGCGTGCGATCGAGTTAATCGTTCTTGTTCCGCGAATGACGCGAGCTCCGCCCCTTTTCCGAGAAGGCTTAGTAACTATGATCATTATAATTTTCAATTTTCGTTCACGTGCGTGTCAGTTGATGAGTGTCGAATGGAGTTTCACAACAACCCGTTTTACGTGAAGTGGTGTAAAACGCGATATGCAGTAGTAGAGTGAAATATATATTTTTCATATCATTTTATTATAACCTCAAAATTTTTCCGGAATTTTCTTTTCATCATCAGATTCGTCAGATAGCGTCGCATTAGGAATCATTATGGTCAATTCATCTCTGCTGAAAGGACTGCACGTCGTGGATAGTCTACAGGGTAGTTGTGTGCGCAAGTAAGCGGAAGGGCGTGGGTTCGATCCCGGGAAGTGGCATTTGGGTTCTGTATTATATGTACCTTTGGTGGATACGCAGTGACGGTGGTGATATTGAATGTGTTAGGATTAGATAACTCAACAAGAGTTATGAACAAGTGGTTCTTAACTAATGATCAATACAGTAATCATAAAGTATACGCTAGGCTAGCAAGGGAGACTAGTATCACAAGAATCTAAAATTACACAAGACACTTGTGTACAATATTTCCTCACAGAATGTGTAATAATTTCGTGGAGACGCAGTGACGGTTATGTAGGTATCCGGAGTTTAATCGCGAGTTGGAAGACCATCTGTTGTCGTTTGATGGAAGTCTGACTACCATTTACGAGGGTCATCAATCGCAAACGGTAGGACTTTGGAAAATAACTAAAACAATGGGAAAATGATGTTTATAATGTGATCACATCTACATGGGAAAATGCTGGTTAATGTGATGAACGTGGTCAACCACATTTTGAGAAAATTCTCAGTGGTTTCTATACACGAATTCCTATAATGAGCTTTGGAAACTCCTGAGCTCAGCTGCTGGAGAAAGCGAACATATATTCATACTTCAACACTGTATAGGAAACTCCTGAGCTCAGCTGATGAGGAAAGCGAACATATATTCCTCCATAATTAATTTCTACACTGACTTCTATTTCACCAAAAATTCGAAATATTGGTAGTGGAAAAAATATTTTTCAACGTGATTGAATTTCGGCACTTTTTTGATCAAAAAATTTTCCCACGGGGTGGGATGAAATTCTTTAAAAAATTTTTTTGGTGAGATTTTCGGGTGAATATGTTGTATTGAATTGGAGTTTCACGGGTGGCCTCAGTGATATGAAAAATATATTTCGCTCGACTACTGCATATCACCGCGAATATCGCCTAGTTTTTCACCGCTTCGCGTAAAACGGGTTGTAATAAAATGCATATATATTTTCAACCGTTTTACGTGAAGTGGAGTGATACTCTGTGTGAATTTTAGAGGTGTAGGTCTTCGCGAAGGAATACGCAATTGTTTTTGAGTAGTGAAATTCAGTCGACGAATGGAAGTGTATTATTTCACTTCAGCTGAGGGGAAAGTTGATGAAAATTGATGAAGTTAATGCAGCATGAAAAAAGAGAAGGAAAATCACGAAAAA